TTTTTGAAGCGAATAACATATTTAATAAATCTAAACGAAATGTAAAATTGTATATGACGTATTTGTATAAGATAATTATAAGAATGGACATAATTTCTATGGTTAAACCGAAAAGGTAGCCCTCAATTAATGCGATTTTCCTCTATTTCAATAGAAAACTTTTATTTTCAGTATAGAGAAATTTCAAACATTATTAGTACAAATGAGTATAACAATAATTAAATACGAGACTAATACATTTTGTCAAGTTTTTTGTTTAAAAAAAAATCTCGTTTAGTAGGCATTATAGGCTACTATTTCGGCTTTGTTCGATATTAAAAGTGTCCCATTGATTTCCACATTTTTATTTATATTGTATACAATATTTTAAAATTGTATCAAATATTTAAATTAAAACAAAAAAAGTTAACAAAAATTAAATTATGAATTAGAAATTAATAAAAAAAAATAGATAACATATTCACATAAAAACCATTAAGAAAAATACCTTAGTCGTATGACATCCACTATACAATACACATGAACACAATGAAAATATAGAAGAGATGCTCCTACGGAGATGCTTCCGGACCTAATTCGGTACGATATTCAAAATTTCATGTCAATCAGACAAATATAGGGTCTCCAATACACAATTTACGTGAAATTGTACAAAAATATATATGGGAGCTGTATTGAAATCAGAACCGATTTTAAGAAAACTTGGCCCAAGCCATTCTAAACTGCATACAGGACGCTATACAAAATTGCATTTCTGTTTTAATCTAAAGGAATTTAAGGAAAACTTGGCACAAGACATTCTAGGACGGAAAAGTATTAGGTCTACTGTGCACAATTTACGAAAAAAATGGAGAAAAATATATATGAAAGCTATATTCAAATCTGAAATGATTTTAAGATAATTTAATACAATTTATTCTAGACTCAATCCGATACGCCGTGCAAAATTTCTTGTCAATCAGAAAAATATTGCATCTTCGACACACCATTTACATTAAGTTGGAAAAAAAATTTAGGACGCTATACAATTTCAATTCGATGCGCTCTGCATTGCGTATCATTTAAACAAAGATGCAGTTCATAGTACACTATTTACAAGAAACCTGGTGGAAATTATATACGGATCAAAATGGTTGATTTGAAGAAAGCCGTACACGTTCCTTTATGAAAATAAAGTACGCTATACAAAATTACATTTCAAATGGTCGAACTTTGGATCCATGTTACACCATTTACATAAAATTGGAAGAAAAAAAATATTCTAAACTCACTTCGGTAAGCTCTGCAGAATTGCGTATCAATTCAACAATGATTGGGTTCTTGGATACGGATCAAAATGGTGGCTTCGTAAAAAGACATCATGGAAATATTCTAATGTAAGAGGAGCTAGAGGCGTTTTTATAGATGATCAGTAGGTATTCTTATAAAATACCAGTTGATCCTCCAATGGAAGTTATTATTTATGCTAACAGGCCAACAGATTTTCAGGTTTTCTAAAAGAAGGCCGATATGTAGAAGACCAGTAGGTCGTCCAAAAAATGGTTTCAAAGAAGAGGTCTGCTTTTTGGGTAATTTAATTCTATATTCTTGGCTAAAATTCATGGTCAGAAGAAAACTCGAATCATGATTGCTTCAAATTTCTCCACTGGAGCTAACCCTTTTAAGAGGTCAATTCTTTATCTAAATCTGAACCGATTCTAACCAATTTCAATGGAATCCGTCTCTTGGTCTCTTTATTAGACTATATAATTACCAACCTATTTCCGATGTGGGACACGAATGGGATTGGATTGTCGGTTCCGACAGGAAAACAACTGGTGACAAACACAAACTGCCTGTGGGTAGGTATATAGATCCCATCTTCGGATTTAGTGTTAGTTTGTAAAAAAAAAATATTACCATATATAATCAAGGTTAGTGAAGGAAATATTTATCCTTTTTAGGTTAGTTACAAAAAAAATTATCGATGGGTCACATTTTCAGATTTTATTTAGGTTTGGTAAAAATATTACAATGAACACCGTTTGATATCAAATCGGTTACTTCATTGCATTGATGAAGACACCGATTTGATATCAAACTATGTCCATTGCAATATCATTATAAAGTCTAAATGGAATCAGAAAAATTTGGACTCATCGATACAATTTTTCTCGTACCTACCCTACATATAAAGTCTAAATGAAATCAGAAAAATTTGACTCATCGATACAATTTTTCTTGTACCTACCCTACATATAAAGTCTAAATGAAATCAGAAAAATTGGACTTATAGATACAATTTTTCTTGTACCTACCCTACATAGGATAAACATTATCGTCAGTAACATTAATTGTACATGGCAATTTATTTAAAAACTGGATTGTAAAAAAATTCAAAATTATCAAATTATAGCCTTGTTAAATATATTATTAAAAAAATTTGCATGATTATTATTTCTTTTGGGGGAGGTACCAAATGGTGTTATCGACCGATATTCCCTACATTCGAATTATGTGCAAGGTTTGAATTAAATCGAATGCTCACTGAGGTAGTTATATTTCGATGAGGAACATTTTTGCCGTAGCATAAGCCTGAGGGTATAAACATTTGACAATGTGTGGGAGGCACCAGAAAGCGTGAACCATTAGAAGGATTTGGTTAGATTGTATAAATAGGTTCAAATCGGATACGCCGTATGTTATTATAAAATCATATTCAGCAACATATTGACCATTTTATGGGGGTGGTACGCAAAAGATATGAACAGATGAGTCCCACCTTCGGACATGATCTAGGATTGTTGCAATCATTGCGATGTGCAATCATCAATGGATCTAATCGGATTCTACCTATTGAATTTACATGTTTTCAAAATGTTGAGCCTTTGTGGGGTGGAGAGGTATCAGAAAGAGTGGACCAATTGCTCCCATCTATGGATTTGATTGGTAAAAATATTGTGATGTGCAAAGTTGTCACTTTGATGGAGTCTACCGGAACCGGTCGTTATCTAGGTTCGGTACAATTATTACGACGAGCCCGATTTGAATGATTTCCTTCATATGAGATTTCTAAATGTTCAAAATTTTGACATTATGTTAGGGAGGGGGAGATACCAGAAACAGTGGCGCGATGGGTTCCATAATGAAACATTTTAAAGTCCGGCAATATTTGTCAAATTGAACACGCCCTTCGCATGTTATTATAAATGTATTCGTCAACAATATTTTGAACATTTTGTGTGGGCGATAACAGAAGTAGTTGACCGGTGGTATAATGGTTGGATCAAAACGGTTATTCAACTACAACTTATATGAAATGAATTTGGCAAAAAAAAAATCTTATTTGGATGAGGCATATTTTAGCCTAAAAGCTGAGGGCATAATTACGGAAAAGGATTTCGTCGAAATACAATTGACCACGGTTTTATGTTATAAAATATATATATATATAAACAATACTTATTTAAATTAAAATATAAAAACAAATATAAATTTTATCAATTTGAATAACAGTACAGTAAACCATCGGTATAACGAATAATCAGTTTAACGAATGAACAAAATAGTCAATTTTTCAAATTTTTGTACTAGGTATTACGAATGGTGCAAAACATAATAGTTTTGTCTTAGTTTATGTTAGAAATGACAATTAATGTATTTAATAAAATTTCAACACAAAATAATCTTCGTGATACAACGAATTTTTCGTATAACGAATGGGCCTGACAATATATCAATCGTTATACCGGACATTGACTGCATTGTAAAAATCGTAAAAAATTTAAAAATATGTGAATATTTGCAAAACTGATTACTTAGTATATAACAAAAAAATTAATTGGGAATAATAAGATATTTAAATGTACATTTAAATTATACAATTTTGTTTTAAAACATAGAAATACAAATTGTATTTAAAATAACTTCTCAAATTATTTGTTAATTTCAATATCCGATTTTTTATATACTTATTAAAATATTAGTCATTGATAACAAACCGTGAAAATTTTAAATAAAATAAAAAAAAAAACAATTTTGAAAATTTATTAAATTTAAAAAAAAAAACATTTGAAATTGCTTACTAATTTGGAAATTTTGAATTTTGAAATATTTGAAATGTTTGTATATAATTATATTATTATAATATTATTTAAAATTTTTGAACTCTTTACAAATTTTACTTTATTATACATTTATAAATATTTTCAAACATGTTTTAATTTATTAAAATAATTTTAAAATATTCTATAACATTCTTGTTTTAAATAAAATAATTAAATATTTAATTGTTATTTAATTTTTTTTTTAAATATTGATTTATTTTCAAAGATATTGCAACATATCTGATTTTTTATTAAAAATGCATCCTTGAAAAGAACTTGAAAATCACATTTATTTATTTTTTATTAAAATATTTAATTACATTTTTTTTTGCATTAATTACTGTTTTGTGTTATGAGGCTTTTTGTGTGTGGATGGGAATTTTAAGACTAATTTAAGTATTAAGTTACTTCTTCTTTACATTTTCATTATTTCCATTTCAAAATACTAAAAAAAACACATCATTACATACTCTCATCTATACACAATGGGGAACTACAATCAAATCTATTTTCAAAAAACCAAAACAATTTTCTGCTAAGTATTGGACCGCTCTTATACACATTTTTTCAAAATAAAATAATTATTTATTAAACACTTTTCTTTACAAGTTTCCAAAAAGATCTTGCCTCAACTTATTATTTGTCTTCTTCTTCTTCAATCAATTATAATTTTCAATAAAACATTTCATATTTAAAGAAATTTCTCGATTTACGTGAACCCATCAATAATTGTTGTTGTTCTTGTCTTTCTAAATCATCATCGTCGTCGTCGTCCTCTTCATCACCACGAGTGTGATGACCATCAAATGCATTCTCATAATCCAGTTCAACATCATCACCTTCGGTGTTGGCATAATCATCTTCTATATCTCCATCATCTTCCGCATCCGTCGTCGTCACTTCTTCAAGTTCTTCTTCATCAAAGGCCGCCATCATCATCATTACATTCCGTTCCGCTTCGTGATCCTTTTTTACTCAAATAATACTTTCGTCATTGTTGCGCGTCAGACGTATGGTTGTGGTGGTGGAAGTGGTGGCCGAACTGCCCTCACCATCACTGCCACTACCGGCACCAACACCACCTCGGTGGTGCTGATGATCACGACGATTCGCCGGATCAATGGTCACAACGATATTTTCATCATCATACAAATCGAAATCTTCATCATTGTCGTCGTCATAGTCGGACGTGGAGGTGGAAAGTAAAGCTGTCGTAACCTGACTCTTTTTATTACTACCCAATGCGGAACTGCTGCTGCCCGAACCGGCAGCACCCGACGAACTATGAGCTCCCATGCCACGTCGAATTTGGGCACGTGGTGTCAGGCGTGAGAGCAGGGGTTCTCGGCCGCTGCTGCGCAGTACCTTTTCACTGTTGGTACTGGCGTGATCGGCCCGTTCCGCATCGCTTAACATTGCTTCCCATTCCTCGCCGGCCGGTTCACACAGCGATTTCGAGTATCCATGATGATAAGATTCCTCGGGGATAGTGTCTCTACGGATCGGCAATTCGACAATTTAGAGATTAGATGGAGAATTGTTTTTGATTTGATTTTTGGTTTGGTTTCGAATGGATGAATGTGGTGGAATTTTGCAAATATTTGAGTTTTTGGTTTGGTTTTCGATTTCGATTTGAAAGAGAGAAAAAAATGTCAAAGATATTATGAGATGAGTTATGTTTGGAAAAATAATTGGTTGTAGATTTTAGTTTTTTTTTTTTTCAATTTTGTTGTTGTAATAATAAATTTTATTGCTAAATAAAATTTTGAAAAAAAGTAACACAATATTTAAAGCTAAACACCAATTTTCAAAACAGATCGGTTTTAGGCGAATTTTAATTTGCGGAAAAGGGCTTAAGTTAAAGTTTTAATAAAAAAAATATTAAAATCTGCAATAATTTTGAGCGATATCAAGGGAAGTAAGAGGCGTGGATTTTTTTAAGAATTTTTTTCCGGGCCTAACAAAGGCGTGGATTTTTAAAGAACATTTTTGACGGGGTCTAACAAAGGCGAGGCGTGGATTTTTTAAAGAACATTTTTGACGGGGTCTAACAAAGGCCAGGCGTGGATTTTTTAAAGAATATTTTTGACGGGGTGTAACAAAGGCGAGGCGTGGATTTTTTAAAGAATATTTTTGCGAGGGTCTACCAAAGGCGAGGCGTGGATTTTTTAAAGAATATTTTTGAGAGGGTCTACCAAAGGCGAGGCGTGGATTTTTTAAAGAATATTTTTGAGAGGGCCTACCAAAGGCGAGGCGTGGATTTTTTAAAGAATATTTTTGAGAGGGTCTACCAAAGGCGTGGATTTTTAAAAAAATATTTTTGAGAGGGTCTACCAAAGGCGAGGCGTGGATTTTTTAAAGAATATTTTTGAGAGGATCTACCAAAGGCGAGGCGTGGATTTTTTAAAGAATATTTTTGAGAGGGTCTACCAAAGGCGTGGATTTATTTAAGAATATTTTTGAGAGGGTCTACCAAAGGCGTGGATTTATTTTTGAGAGGGTCTACCAAAGGCGTGGATTTTTTAAAAAATATTTTTGAGAGGGTCTACCAAAGGCGAGGCGTGGATTTTTTAAAGAATATTTTTGAGAGGGTCTACCAAAGCCGAGGCGTGGATTTTTTAAAGAATATTTTTGAGAGGGTCTACCAAAGGCGAGGCGTGGATTTTTTAAAGAATATTTTTGAGAGGGTCTACCAAAGGCGAGGCGTGGATTTTTTAAAGAATATTTTTGAGAGGGTCTACCAAAGGCGAGGCGTGGATTTTTTAAAGAATATTTTTGAGAGGGTCTACCAAAGGCGAGGCGTGGATTTTTTAAAGAATATTTTTGAGAGGGTCTACCAAAGGCGAGGCGTGGATTTATTAAAGAACATTTTTTCAGAGTCTACCAAAGGCGTGGATTTTTTAAAGAACATTTTTTCAGAGTCTACCAAAGGCGTGGATTTTTTAAAGAACATTTTTTCAGAGTCTACCAAAGGCGTGGATTTTTTAAAGAACATTTTTTCAGAGTCTACCAAAGGCGTGGATTTTTTAAAGAACATTTTTTCAGAGTCTACCAAAGGCGTGGATTTTTTGAAGAACATTTTTTCAGAGTCTACCAAAGGCGTGGATTTTTTAAAGAACATTTTTTTAGAGTCTACCAAAGGCGTGGATTTTTTAAAGAACATTTTTTTCAGAGTCTACCAAAGGCGTGGATTTTTTAAAGAACATTTTTTCAGAGTCTACCAAAGGCGTGGATTTTTTAAAGAACATTTTTTCAGAGTCTACCAAAGGCGTGGATTTTTTAAAGAACATTTTTTCGGAGTCTACCAAAGGCGTGGATTTTTTAAAGAACATTTTTTCAGAGTCTACCAAAGGCGTGGATTTTTTAAAGAACATTTTTTCAGAGTCTACCAAAGGCGTGGATTTTTTAAAGAACATTTTTTCAGAGTCTACCAAAGGCGTGGATTTTTTAAAGAATATTTTTGAGAGGCTCTACCAAAGGCGTGGATTTTTTAAAGAATATTTTTGAGAGGCTCTACCAAAGGCGAGGCGTGGATTTTTTAAAGAATATTTTTGAGAGGCTCTACCAAAGGCGAGGCGTGGATTTTTAAAAGAATATTTTTGAGAGGCTCTACCAAAGGCGAGGCGTGGATTTTTTAAAGAATATTTTTGAGAGGCTCTACCAAAGGCGAGGCGTGGATTTTTTAAAGAATATTTTTGAGGGGTCTATCAAAGGCGAGGCGTGGATTTTTTAAAGAATATTTTTGACGGGTCTACCAAAGGCTAGGCGTGGATTTTTTAAAGAATATTTTTGAGAGGCTCTACCAAAGGCGAGGCGTGGACTTTTTAAAAAATATTTTTGAGAGGCTCTACCAAAGGCTAGGCGTGGACTTTTTTTAAAAAATATTTTTGAGAGGCTCTACCAAAGGCTAGGCGTGTATTTTTTAAAAAATATTTTTAGAGGCTCTACCAAAAACTAGGCGTGGATTTTTTAAAGAATATTTTTGAGAGGGTCTACCAAAAACTAGGCGTGGATTTTTTAAAGAATATTTTTGAGAGGGTCTACCAAAAACTAGGCGAGGATTTTTTAAAGAATATTTTTGAGAGGGTCTACCAAAAACTAGGCGTGGATTTTTTAAAGAATATTTTTGAGAGGGTCTACCAAAAACTAGGCGTGGATTTTTTAAAGAACATTTTTTCAGAGTCTACCAAAGGCGTGGATTTTTTAAAGAACATTTTTTCAGAGTCTACCAAAGGCGTGGATTTTTTAAAGAACATTTTTTCAGAGTCTACCAAAGGCGTGGATTTTTTAAAGAACATTTTTTCAGAGTCTACCAAAGGCGTGGATTTTTTAACGAACATTTTTTCAGAGTCTACCAAAGGCGTGGATGTTTTAAAGAACATTTTTTCAGAGTCTACCAAAGGCGTGGATTTTTTAAAGAACATTTTTTCAGAGTCTACCAAAGGCGTGGATTTTTTAAAGAATATTTTTGAGAGGCTCTACCAAAGGCGTGGATTTTTTAAAGAATATTTTTGAGAGGCTCTACCAAAGGCGTGGATTTTTTAAAGAATATTTTTGAGAGGCTCTACCAAAGGCGTGGATTTTTTAAAGAATATTTTTGAGAGGCTCTACCAAAGGCGTGGATTTTTTAAAGAATATTTTTGAGAGGCTCTACCAAAGGCGTGGATTTTTTAAAGAATATTTTTGAGAGGCTCTACCAAAGGCGTGGATTTTTTAAAGAATATTTTTGAGAGGCTCTACCAAAGGCGTGGATTTTTTAAAGAATATTTTTGAGAGGCTCTACCAAAGGCGAGGCGTGGATTTTTCAAAGAATATTTTTGAGAGGCTCTACCAAAGGCGAGGCGTGGATTTTTTAAAGAATATTTTTGACGGGTCTATCAAAGGCGAGGCGTGGATTTTTTAAAGAATATTTTTGACAGGTCTACCAAAGGCTAGGCGTGGATTTTTTAAAGAATATTTTTGAGAGGCTCTACCAAAGGCGAGGCGTGGACTTTTTAAAAAAATATTTTTGAGAGGCTCTACCAAAGGCTAGGCGTGGACTTTTTTTAAAAAATATTTTTGAGAGGCTCTACCAAAGGCTAGGCGTGGATTTTTTAAAAAATATTTTTGAGAGGCTCTACCAAAAACTAGGCGTGGATTTTTTAAAGAATATTTTTGAGAGGGTCTACCAAAAACTAGGCGTGGATTTTTTAAAGAATATTTTTGAGAGGGTCTACCAAAAACTAGGCGAGGATTTTTTAAAGAATATTTTTGAGAGGGTCTACCAAAAACTAGGCGTGGATTTTTTAAAGAATATTTTTGAGAGGGTCTACCAAAAACTAGGCGAGGATTTTTTAAAGAATATTTTTGAGAGGGTCTACCAAAAACTAGGCGTGGATTTTTTAAAGAATATTTTTGAGAGGGTCTATCAAAGGCGAGGCGTGGATTTTTTAAAGAATATTTTTTTTGGGTCCATCAAAGGCGAGACGTGGATTTTTTAAAGAATATTTTTGAGGGGTCCATCAAAGGCGAGACGTGGATTTTTTAAAGAATATTTTTGAGGGGTCCATCAAAGGCGAGACGTGGATTTTTTAAATAATATTTTTGAGGGTTCTACCAAAGGCTAGGCTTGGATTTTTTAAAGAATATTTTTGAGAGGGTCCGTCAAATGCGAGGCGTGGATTTTTTAAAGAATATTTTTGAGAGGGTCTACCAAAGGCGAGGCTTGGATTTTTTAAAGAATATTTTTGAGAGGGTCTAACAAAGGCGAGGCGTGGATTTTTTAAAGAATATTTTTGAGGGGTCTATCAAAGGCGAGGCGTGGATTTTTTAAAAAATATTTTTGAGGGGTCTAGCAAAGGCGAGGCGTGGATTTTTTAAAGAATATTTTTGAGGGGTCTAACAAAGGCGAGGCGTGGATTTTTTAAAGAATATTTTTTCTGGGTCTAACAAAGGCGAGGCGTGGATTTTTTAAAGAATATTTTTGAGAGGGTCTACCAAAGGCGAGGCGTGGATTTTTTAAAGAATATTTTTGAGAGGCTCTACCAAAGGCGAGACGTGGATTTTTCAAAGAATATTTTTGAGAGGCTCTACCAAAGGCGAGGCGTGGATTTTTTAAAGAATATTTTTGAGAGGCTCTACCAAAGGCGAGGCGTGGATTTTTTAAAGAATATTTTTGAGAGGCTCTACCAAAGGCGAGGCGTGGATTTTTTAAAGAATATTTTTGAGAGGCTCTACCAAAGGCGAGGCGTGGATTTTTTAAAGAATATTTTTGAGAGGCTCTACCAAAGGCGAGGCGTGGATTTTTTAAAGAATATTTTTGAGAGGGTCTACCAAAGGCGAGGGGTGGATTTTTTAAAGAATATTTTTGAGAGGCTCTACCAAAGGCGAGGCGTGGATTTTTTAAAGAATATTTTTGAGAGGCTCTACCAAAGGCGAGGCGTGGATTTTTTAAAGAATATTTTTGAGAGGCTCTACCAAAGGCGAGGCGTGGATTTTTTAAAGAATATTTTTGAG